AGAGGCACACGCAAATACCTCTCTCTCCCTCTCTCCCTCTCCCTCTCCCTCCCTCTCTCTCTCTCTCCCTCTGTCCGGTGGCGTATACAGATGCGGTGCGCCCTCGTCGCCTCCTGTGGATCGTCGTCAAGGTGACATTGTGCTGCCTGCATGTGCACACACACACACACACACACACACACACACACACACACACACACACACACACACGCACACACAGAGCAGCTCTTCTCACACTATTTCACATCGCCATGAGAAAATGCACCGGTGAGCCAGTCGTCTCCCTGCTCTGGAAATACGTGGCAAATGGGAGGCAGATGAATCCCAGGGCAGCAGTCAGAGACAGATTGTGCACCACAAATAGCCGAGTATACTCAAGGGTAGGACAAAAGGCCTGCGCCGGATCCGTAATGGTGCGAGCCACGCGCTGCCCGGCCTGCGGAGTGCTGAGCGCACTTCGTTATACGTGTATGTAAAGTAACTTAAACAGTTTGGAGCAGGAGCAAAGAAAATTGACGAGAGGCCCCCGTTGTGAGGCTCCCGACACCATCAGGGTGTCCAGTCTGAGCCGGTGCTGCAACATATGGAAAAACTGAAGCAGTCCAACAAGCAGTAAAGCGCGCAGACCAGCAGCATTCTTGAGTTTTTATTGGGCTGTGGCTCCATGAGCACATGTTAGGGAGATGGTTTCCAGAGAGTTTTTTAGTTCTGCAAGCTCCTGTCTGGCTTCGGACGTTGACCCCCGAAACCCTTTCAAGCAGTCGCCAAACGTTATTCTGAACCCCGCAATTTGAAAAATAAAGCCAATTCGCAGCAATGACTTTTGTCACCCCCAAACACATAGTCATAAGGAGCAAGTCATAAGGAGCAAGTCATCTGAGCGCAAAAGCTTCGATTCAGCCAACAGTACTCTCATGGAATCATGTAAGGAAAAGAGGATGTTTCTTTTCCATTCGTTGGCTCCTCTGTTTGAGATTCCCAACTGAGACTGAAAAAATGTTCGGTAGTGAATCAAAAGCCCAATGTGAAGAAGAGGCCGAGAAGCGAGCCAGCTGGAGCTTCATACCCCACAAAGCTGAAGCTCTTATAAAGTGAGTTCTCTCTCAGAACAACGTCATCCTCATCTCACACCTGTTTTCCTGCAGGGTTCAGTTTGCCGGGTGTTCTTCCACACTGGGTCAAGGCCGATAGCAGCAAAATGGATATTCAGGATGCAAAATCTGCTAGAGCGTTTGCGCACGGCGGTACTCTGCTGAGCCCTGCTGGTGCGACGCTAGAAGAGCAGCACACGGTCTTTTACCCCGTTTATTTCTTTTCTGGTTCATTTCTTCCTTTGAATTTCACTCATTTTCTTTGTTAAACAAAAAAGGAGAAAACGTGGCTTGTACGTAAAAGTAAAGGAATTGGCAGTTAAGATTTTCCAAGAAAGAGCTGGATTTCCTGCATGGGAGCGCTGATGGAATCGTGCTGATCCCTTGGAGCAGGTGTGGGTGTCCTGCCATGAGGTTAACCCGTTACCCTCTGAGCCTCTATCCTCCTTGGACATTAAACACACCCACACACAAAGAGTATCTGAGTTTCTTTTAATTATGTTGTGGCAAACCAGGGGGAGGAACAAAGCACTTGGGGCGGAGCCCCAAGCTCCGGTTGGGGGAGGTGATAAGGGGGATTTATTATCCTGTGCAGGTGCTCCAGCCACTGGGAACGTGGCACTGGTCACACCTGCGGCCTATCTGGTAATCAGAGCAGTCCCTAGATAAGGAGAGGAGAAGAGACCGGACGGGAGCAGACGTCGGAGAGGAGGTAACCCCCAGGACTCACCGCTCTACTCTACTCTACTCTGCTCCTAACAGGACAAGGAAGCGGGCGCCACGTAGGAGGAGACGCCACGTATTTCAGGTTGGAAGCCGGTTGGAAGAGCCGTAGTTTTTGACCTTTGTTATTAAAAGGACCCTTTTTGTTTGCATTTGCTGTCTGAGTTTCTTATTTTACGCCCGAATCTGGCCTCACTCCCCCTGGGTTACCACAATGTGTACAATAAGTTAAATATATATATATATATATATCTTTGATCACGTTTAAATATGTTTTCCATTCTCTGCCCTCCATTGGAATCACTGCAGGAACCAGCTTGAAGAGGAGGAACAAGTGTCCCTAAAACTCTTCGCATTGGAGGTCATGTGAGTTTTTGTTTTCATCTGATTGATATCAGATATGCCAGATAAGCCGGATAAGTTATTTTTTGAGGGAACAGAGTTGGTGGTAGTTGTTCAGGTACAGAGCCTCTGTTTCACTGCAAAGAAATGCAGAAGAAACGAGCTCCGTAAATCATTTTGTGGCCAAAAGGGAACTCATGTAAATGAAAGTAAGAAACAGCCAAAAACCACCCTGTTCTTGGCAGAAGTGCAATAATTGGTGTACAAACAAGTTCAAATTGAATCGGCCCTGATCGTCCACTTCGGCCTCGACCTTCCACCTCATTGAAGCCTTCACCTGTAAGCCTCCTCAGAGCTTATTCTTTGGGGACTCCTAGAATGTAAGT